CAAGTCAGGCACAGAAAGAGAAATACCACATGTTCTCACTTATTGGTGGGAGCTAAATATATATAAATAAATTCACACACACACACAAAAAAAAACTGGTGAGGGGGGGAAAGAAGACATAACAACTACAATTCCTTGAAGTTGGTACGACAAGCAGACAGAAAGGACATTGTTGGGTTGGAGGTGGTAGGGGGAGGAGGGAGGGAGGTTTCGGTAATGGGTAACAATAATCAACCACATTGTATATCGGAAATAAATAAATAAATATATAAAATAAAAACCAGGGAAAAAGGGAAAATCCTAAAAGCTAAAAGCAAAAAACAAATGAAAAAACAAAAAATTATATGATAAGGAAAGTGATTCACAATGTCATCATACCTTTCAAAGCAGCACTGGAGAATAGAAAACAAGAGAACAATGTCATAAAAATTCTAGATAAAATAATTTTCAACCTAGAATTTAATCATAAGTGGGAGAGAATTAAGACATTTTCAGACAGGCAAGGAAGCAACTGGAAGATATGCTCCAAATACAGAAAGAATAAAGTACGAAAGAACATATATGGGATTCAGGAAACAGTAGATGCAACCTAAAAGAACATCAAACAAAGTCCTAGGATGGCAGCTGGACAGCAGTCCTGGATGGAAGGCAAAAAGCTCAGAAAAAGCAGGATACCAGGCTCCCAAGGTGTAAGAACCAACTTTGCCAAAAGGTAAATTATGAATATACTGACGGAGTCAATGGGGAATTTCAGCAAAAGATTCCCAATAGTGGCATACACTTAACATCGAAAGCTCAGACCTGCCCTGGAAAAGGCAGCTTCCCTAAAAAATATTTTATTTAAAAATATAATTTAGCAATTTAGATAATGCTGAGATGGAAGTAAAATACCATTATCTATCTTATTGCCTAGAATAAATAACCGCTGGTGTGTTTATATACTAAAAAGAAAAGTCCAAAATGCTAGTAGTTCAGTTGTTATTAAACTCTTTATATCTCTTTTTTGACTTTAAATAATTAAGCATGTATGACTTTAAAAACAAATTATTGATAGCTAAATAAAAATTTTAAATACAATTAAGAAACAGAAATGGTGAACAGACAAATCGCAAAAAACCTAAATGACAAATATACTGAAAAGGTAAACCTCATAAGAAACCAAGAAAAACAATATTTTTCCCTTAAAGTGACCAAAAACACGTAGAATATTGAACATAAACTATGTGCAGTAAATGCCTGAAAAATGTTCTTTCCCTATAATTTAGTCATTCTGCCTCTGGAAATCTATCCTAGAAATAATACCAAATATCAAAGAAGTTTTATGTTCACTGCTGTATTTTTCTCCTTGGGTTGGAATAAGCCCCAATAGCACTTTGTTTTGTTTGAAAAACAAAAGAAGAAAAATAAAGCTTTGCCATATTTCCACTACTTAGAATTATACATACTCGCTAATTCCTACAATTTATTCATAAATTATTTTAGGTTCTCTACATACACAACATTATCTGTAAAAAGTAGGTGGTTTTTTTTCATCTTACATAACTTTTATTTCTTTTTCTTAACTTACTGTGTAGTAGCTAGGCCAGTAAATGATTTTTTAAAAAGAGTAGTATTTGTGAGCATGCTTGTCTTGCTCCTAATTTCAAAGGGAGAGTTTTTGTTAATTCATTGTTAGTGTATAAAAAATGTGATAGTTTTACTGTTGCCCCTTTTTAGCAGCTGTATATATTTTTATGCATATATTTCTTACAGTCTTGCATTCCAAGATTACTTTGTTTTCTATATGAGTCAATACTAAACTTTATGGAAAAACTATAATGTATACATATCTATAAAAGTAAATAGTGAAAGTTCCACTCCAACTTTCCAGTCCCTCTCAAAATTATCAACAGTGTGGAGCACAGTCTTTCTATCCAATATACATCATATGTATATCCATGTACATACAAACATACACATGCACACTTTTTATAAAAAGCAAAACTGGGATCATTATACATCTGTGTATTACTCTGCAATGTTTTCCTACCACTAAATACATTATTAGGTAACAGTTTTTGAGTGCTATGTACAGACACAGTCCTCATGCCTTTAAATACATTATATCATATAAACCTCAGAATGTTCCATGTAAGTCAAACACTTTGCATGTCAGTACTGATACATTCACCTCTAAAAAAAAAAAAAGGCTTTGCTGCAATCTATTTTATGGGTATAACATAATTTACCATAAAATGTCTCTACCATTGGACATTTTGGTTTCTTCTAATTTTTTGCGTAACACCAATCATATGGAAAAAAATAGGAAACCACTTAAATAGGGGAATTACTAACTAAGTTGTGGTCTAATCATATAATAAAACATAATGCTATCATAAAAAAACGATCAGCGGAAAAGCTATGTAAATGCATCAGAAAATGCTTAGACTATGTATGAAGTGAAAAACAGGGAAAACCAAAACTATTCAAAACAGGCTGGATTCAACTATGTAATAAACCAGTAAGGTAGTTTCTAGATGGTGGAAATTCTAGATGATCTTTCTCCCTCTTCTTTTTTTGTACTTTTTAAGTTTTCAACAATGAGAATGTATTATTTTTAAAAAGGAAGATAAATAAGCTATAATTCCTTTGTATAAGAAATAAAACTACACGAATTGGTAATCTCAAGACTTTAAGGGGCCGGCCCGGTGGCGCACTGGAGAGTGCGCCGCTTGGGAGTGCGGCGGCGCTCCCGCCGAGGGTTCGGATCCCATGTGGTGACCAGTTCCTGCTCACTGGCTGAGCCTGGCGCGGGCGCAACACTGAGGGTTGCGATCCGTTGCCGGTCCCCGGTACGGGCGCGACACCGAGGGTTGCGACCCCGTTACCGGCCAGTAAAAAAAAAAGACAAAAAGGGAAAAAAAAAAAAAAGACTTTAAGAAGCTGACTTACCTATACGCAAAAATTATAGTTTCCCTAAATCATTTTCAGATATAAAATTCCTGTAAAGTTGATTCAACAACATGTTGATACAATATTATCACAACAAAAATTACTATGCATAACACATAAGGCAATACAAAGAATATTTTTCCAATTATAAATCTTAAAATTATTACAACTATTTTCTGTTGGCATACTCATCACATCAAGATACATACTTTTGCTCTTGACTGGGTTAATTCAAAGTGGATAGATTCTATTTTAGTCATTAAAGAATGATTCTGTGTGATCAAACAAGCATTCTGTTGCCTAAGTTTATTAAGTTTCTCTCGAAGGTTTTTAATCTCCTGATCCACAGGCGTAGAAGATGAAAAAGACATCTGAAAAATGAAAAAGAATAACCTATTTTGAATTATTTCATTTATGGATTACATGTAATTAATGAAAAATCATGAGCAATTATCAATAAAATGACTAAGCAATTCAGGAAACGAATTTAAATGTTTAGTAAGTGTTCACAAAATATGTGAAACAATCAGTACTCTCCCTTTGACTGCTGCTGCTGGAAGTATACGTAAGCATAACTTGGAAAACAGTGGTACACCTTGGAAAACTGCTTGGTATTAACCAGTAAAACTGAATATGCTAAGACCCAACAGTATCACTCTTAGATATAAATATGATAGAAACTTTTGTACTTTTGCACCTGAAGATATAAAAATGTTCATAGCTATACTGTCCATAGAGGCAATAAATGGATAAAACCTAAATGTCCAAAAATAAAATAGACAGTAGATAAAATATTATTTAATCTGTACATATTTTTTTGGTTTGGGTTTTTTTTTGGGGGGGGGGTGGCTAGCTGGTACAGGGATTGGACCCTGGACCACGGTGTTATCAGCATCATACTCTAATCAACTGAGCTAACTGGCCAGCTCTGTAACATATAATTTAATTATACTTTTAATATATATTTTATAATAAATTGATTTCCATGAGGATCCAATTTTTACTTTTTCATTAATCAATTTACTTTTTGGCGCTGGCCATAAGGGGATCCAAACCCTTGAACCTGGTGTTATAACACCGTGCTCTAACCAACTGAGCTAACTGGCCAGCACCTAGATCCAATTTCTAAAACATTATTTCTTTCAATTAATTTAATTTTTTTCAGTAATATATGGACTTCAAAAGTCAAAACTATATGAAAGAAAAAGTAAATACAGAAGTCTCCCTTCTATCTTTAGTAGGTAGGTAACCATTTTTAGTCTTCTAAATGATTTCACATACATACACAAGCAATACAAATTACCCACTTCCCTTACCTCCTTATGCAAAAGCTAGCATATTATATATACTGCTCTGGACCTCGCATTTTTTCACTTGAATAATACTGTCAATCTCTCCATAATTGATACATTGGAAAACTCCTATTCTTTTTTTTTTTTTTCTTCTTAACTGAAACAACCACAGTTTATCTAATCAACCCCTATTACTGGATACTTAAGCTATTTCTAATCTTTTGTTATAACAATGCCTCATTTTGTACTGATGCAGGTGTACCTGCAGGACAGTTTTCCAGAAATAGGATTTCCAAGTCAAGGCAAATGGATTTGTAATTCTGGTAAATATTGCCAAATGCCTCTCCAGAGGGGTTGCATTCCCACCAGCAATGTATATCTCCCCAATATCACCAACAAAATATAGTAGCAAACATTTGGATGTTTAACAATCGGATAGGTAAGAACTGATACTTATAGTTTCATTTTTAATTTCTCTTATCATCAGTAAGATTAAACACCTTTTCGTTTGTTTGATGATCATTTTTATTTTCTTTTCCATTTATGTCTTTTGTCCTTTGGGTTATTGATCTTTTTCTTCTCACTTTCTAGAAGCACTTTATATACTTTGTCTCTGATAGGCATTATCAATATTTTTTCCCCTCCAATTTGTGATTTATCTCTTGATTTTACTTATGGTAAAACACAATGATTTCAACTAAGGCATATATATATCATAAGAATGATCAGTAAATTGAATTAGGATAGAGACCAAATTTCCCAGAATTGCATATTCTTTGTAGACATGGAATTTGAATTTACTTTCTAAAATGTAGGCTCAGAAAGCTTCATTAAGCAGCTTCATAACAAAAAGAAAATTTTTCAATGGTTGGCTTTCTGAAGCAGAAATAGCAAATTTTTACCAAAAAAAGATTATGATGTGCATATGCAACCATATCTGTGAATATGCATGTTGGCGGTGGGAGGATAAAGAAGAGAGTAGAAAAGGAAATAACAGGATTGAGTAACGAACAGGAATAAACACAGGGAGATAACATGATAGAATGACAAAGAGGGAGAGAGTTCCAGACCAGGAAAAAATGTCTAACATCACTGACAAAACTTAGGAAGAATGAAAGGAGAATGCTGCCATGCTATCACACAGCACTTGATCCAAGCTAAATGGTGTGTATACTTTACTCAGATTACCTATTATTTACAGGGAATAGTGCTAAATTCAAGGGGGTTATAATATACTTGAGAAAAGAAGACATTTAACTGCAAAAAGGTAATAAATACAGAAGTCTAAAAACAGAGTTTTTATACCAAGATAACTACTTCCTTGTTAGGACATAAAGAGAACAGTTATATTTAAATTCTTGAGCACCATAGTAACAGACTATGGAGAATATAAATATGGCATTTAAAGAAAAACTAAAAAAAATATTTTAAGTAGTTCTAAAACTAAAACTATTTTTAAACATACAGGTCTAAAAACAATAACCTTATCTCTTGGCTTTTTTTGAAAATCAGTACTGCTACCAGACATTTTACAAACTTTTTTGTAAGGTGAGCAATTCAAAACTCCAGGGTGGCTAGGATGAACAAGATCTCCCAAAATGAGCCTTTCAGACCTTGAAGGATTAGAAGTATAATCGGAATTTTCACTTGGACTAACACTAGAGAAAAAAGAAAAAATAAATTTTAGTTTTTTGGTAGTTTAAGTATTCAGCACAAATTTCTATACATTAAATAAGAAAACATAAAGAAAATAACCTGAAATGCTGCTGACAATTAGATTCATATTTATGACTGTGAGGCAATGTTTCCACTAAATTTTAAATAACCATAGTTTTAAACTAGCAATCTATGTATTTCCAGGGCCTCTAAGCCAGGATAACCTAGGATTCAAAAATTAGTCAGAATAATAAAAGACTAATAAAGCCCAAAATACATATTTCATATTCTGAATCCTAATACATTAAAGGTGTTTTCTTAATACATAAATCCTTCTCTAATATTCCTATTTTTTCCTAAACTGAGAGTTATATTAAAAAGTGTAGAAAATTATTTGTTACTCCAGAGTCATATTAGAAACACCATATGTAATAATGAAATCCAAACACTTTACATTCATAAATTAAAGTCACACTCTGAATTCTAATATGTGATTTTACTTACTTACCTGGATAACTCTTCCCCTAAATTCTGCAAATTCCATTCTGTTATCTTCAGTTCATGTCTTAAGGAAGCAACATTTGCAAGCAAACTTTCTTCTTCATTGTCTTTATTATGGTAGTCTGATAAACTAGATTCCATTTCTTAAAAAAAAGAAATTAATTGTTTATACCTTGCCTGAAGGATTCTGTGGTATCAGTAAAAATACTCTCATACTAATAGAATTTAACTTGTTATTTTTCTATTTCAAATGCTGTGAACTCTTTCATGGCTGTTTAAAATAAAACAATAAAACCAATTAATAATGAATTTCTTTGCAGTGTAAAACCATAATGGGAAGTTCAATACAATATCAATATATCAATTTTTCATTTTAGCAAGGGTATAGTTCTTATAATTCCCCTTTTGTACGCACATTTAACCTTTCTAACAATTGTGTAATCTAAGTATGTTTATTCCATGTTAAAGATGAAGAAGCCAAGAATCAGATTAAATAACCTACTGAAGGTCACACAAACAGTAAATGGTGAAAACAAGATGTGAATCCCGGTCATCGGGATCCAGAGACCTTTTAATTAAGCTACACTGCACTCTTCTAATTTGTTATTTATTATATATCAATTTCAATATGAAGTCTGAATTTTCACAATCATATTACAAACTGTGGACATCTGATAAAATGGTACCATTTGTCATTCATATTTTCTTAGAAAGCAATTTATTACCAGATAAAAGTTATCTCTTTCTCCCTTTCACAATAGTTATAAAATTTAAAATACACACACATTCACAAGTCACAATCACAGAGATCAAAATGACATTTGGCAGGTTAGCTCAGAAATATATAAAGAAAAGCTTTTGTTTCTTCAACGGATGGGTATCTCTAGGATTGTGAAACTGTCTACTAAATTCCTTTGCACATAAAAAATTATAATAAAGAATTACATTTTATTATTGTAATTGATGCAAGAAAAAACTGAAGCCTTATAATCTCTATTACTGCTGTAATCTTTCTGCATAATCTTAAAATTACATTGTTCTTTCAGATCCCATTCACCTTTTTTCATTGTAGCATCTCTCTCTCATCCCTCTTCTTAGAATTCGGACCAAAATCCCAAGCTCCAAAAGGTTAGGAATCCTGTGTGTTACGTTCAGGACTGTAACGTACTTAGAGAAGCTCAATGTTTTGAATGAATAAATGATGAATACTAAACTGCCCTTCCTTTCTTTCCCTCATCCAGCTAAAATCATTACACTACATTTATTTCCCACGCAAAATTTCTCCCGTAGAGAAAGGTTAAAAAGAAAACCCTCACCTTACTGGAATAATCTGTGGCAGAAAATTAAATCAGTTGCTATGTAATCACTGTATACAAGCTGTTTCTATCCTCTTTCCTCTTTTGTTTCCACAAATTTCCTTCGGCTTAAGTGAGAAGACTCTCAGACAAGTCAACGGATCAGGTCCCCATCCTTCTTTATTTATTCAAAAACATCTCTAGCTCCCTGTAGGATGGTGGAAGAGAAAAGGGTAAAGAAAATTTGGGCAAATTCTGAAATGCTGTTGGGCATTGTTTCATATAAATCAGGTTTTATGTTCAACATCTGTGTATTTTCATGTAAGAATTCTCTCTTTTGAAGTAGCAATGAATACATTCGATATTCAAATATTTTCATTTCCCTAGCGGGCCATTTACAGTCAAAAGAAGTTTGCTCCTGGGTGGGCCCGTGGCTCACTCGGGAGAGTGTGGTGCTGATAACACCAAGGTCCCAGGTTCGGATCCCATATAGGGATGGCCGGTGGCTCACCTGGGAGAGTGTGGTGCTGACAACACCAAGTCAAGGGTTCAAATCCCCTTACCGGTCATCTTTAAAAAAAAAAAAAAAAAGTTTGCTCCTCATTTCAATTTACAGTAGTTATAAAAAAAAAGCCTATTTTCATTGCCTGTACACACATGGAAAGGCACGTCATCCTACCTACGGGTCCTAAGTTCAGCACTAATTAACGTTTGTAGGTGTACATACGCATACTCGTCACACGAAGGACAAGTGTTCTTTATACCCCCTTATGTGCTGGGATGGGCTATAGTCGGAAAAGATGCCCCATTCTGGAAGGAGGTCGTGGCTTTATACAGAATTCTCTCATCTCAAGAACGCTCAATTTGACATAGGTGATCCTGCACCCAATCTGGAATTAACAGAGGAAAACCCGACATCCTCCTCTCCGGTTTTCCCTTAAATAAAGTACAACCCTGCACAGTAGCATTCTCAGTAAAGGCGAGGACCAGGTGAAGCGCGTCCAAGGAGCTAGGAGGGAAAGGAACACACGTCCCCGAGATAGGCCGGTTTCCACCCGCCAAGGGACAGTCGCTCACCACACGAGTCGTAGCTAGGGAAAGGCCCACCCGACAACGGCGCACGCTGCGATCTAGTCTGCACTCGGAAGCCTTTGACCCTCTCCCGGGCCCCGGGCGCGGAAGCCTCAGACACTAGACGCGGAGGAAACAGCGAACCCCGGCGGCGGCGAGTTCGAACTGCCGCGGAGCCGTTGGAACGCACCTCCCGGCCGCAGCCCCGCCCCGCGCAGGCTGTGCGCGCAGCGACGCCATAGGCGCGGAGCCTGCCGGGGATCGTGGTCGGCGGGCGCGTCCGAGCCCACGAGCCGACGGCGCCCAGGACTACATTTCCCACAATTGCTGCCCTGACGCCCATAGGTGTGGGGGAAGGCATGGGAATCTGCGGCCGCCGGCGTGCGAGGCGGGCAGAGCTCACGCCGGACCTGAGGAGGGCGAGGAAGGGGCCTGCTGGCCCCGCCCTCAGTCCCTTTGGTCGGCTGCGCTTCCTCCTCTGAGGGAGCGGTTGCCTCGCTTGGGGGAAGGCATGGGAATCTGCGGCCGCCGGCGTGCGAGGCGGGCAGAGCTCACGCCGGACCTGAGGAGGGCGAGGAAGGGGCCTGCTGGCCCCGCCCTCAGTCCCTTTGGTCGGCTGCGCTTCCTCCTCTGAGGGAGCGGTTGCCTCGCTTGGGGGAAGGCATGGGAATCTGCGGCCGCCGGCGTGCGAGGCGGGCAGAGCTCACGCCGGACCTGAGGAGGGCGAGGAAGGGGCCTGCTGGCCCCGCCCTCAGTCCCTTTGGTCGGCTGCGCTTCCTCCTCTGAGGGAGCGGTTGCCTCGCTTGGGGGAAGGCATGGGAATCTGCGGCCGCCGGCGTGCGAGGCGGGCAGAGCTCACGCCGGACCTGAGGAGGGCGAGGAAGGGGCCTGCTGGCCCCGCCCTCAGTCCCTTTGGTCGGCTGCGCTTCCTCCTCTGAGGGAGCGGTTGCCTCGCTTGGGGGAAGGCATGGGAATCTGCGGCCGCCGGCGTGCGAGGCGGGCAGAGCTCACGCCGGACCTGAGGAGGGCGAGGAAGGGGACTGCTGGCCCCGCCCTCAGTCCCTTTGGTAGGCTGCGCTTCCTCCTCTGAGGGAGCGGTTGCCTCGCTGCGGCCGCCACCTGGACTTTCTTCAGGCTCCAGCTATATCTGCCAACCACGAGGAGACCAGGGAGGAAAAGCGGAGCCGAGAAGCCCGTACCCCTCACCTTCCACGCCGTTTTCCGCCCGAGATCGGCCAGGCAGGGATGGGCGACAAGATTTGGCTGCCCTTCCCCGTGCTCCTCCCGGCCGCTCTGTCCCTAGTGCTGCTGCCGGGGGCGGCCGGCTTCACCCCCTCCTTGGACAGTGACTTCACCTTTACCCTTCCGGCCGGCCAGAAGGAATGTTTTTACCAGCCCATGCCCCTGAAGGCCTCGCTGGAGATCGAGTACCAAGTAAGTGCGGAGGATGAGCCAGCCTCCTTCCTCTAGCCCAGCTGCACCGCGTCGCCGCCTCTCGCCCGCTTGAAAACTTCTGGTGGACGGCCCGGGTAAGAGGCGAGGGCAGCCCGGGAAGCCGGCCAGCTCCGCGCAGGCGCGCCGGGCGAGGCGAGCTCTTCTTGGCGCTGGGGACCTAGAAGTTAGGCGGGACCTGGAGTTGACGACTACCCGCCCTCTCGCCTTTCCTCCGGTCGGAAAGAGGCCAAAACTGGTGATGTCGATGGCTTTTCTCTTTGTTTCATAATTCGCCCATTGCTTTTCTAGCCAGTATATGCTCCGATACTGAGAATTTCTCGATACAGGAAAGATACACGTTCTCCTTCATCATTGGACGAGGCGATGACACTTGTTTGAATCACCCCCACCACTTTTACCCAGTTGCGATATTATAAATCTTCAGTGTCTATGTCCCGGTTAAGGGTTTTTGAATCGTGACCATGTGATTATTACTAAATCCGATTCCGAAATATTTTGAAAGGGGCTTTAGTGTATTTAATGGTACATTTCCGTTTCAGTTACATGTCCACTATCTTCAAATCAAATAAGATCAAATCGCGTATTAGAACTTTATAACCTTTCTTTCTTTGAGCATCGTCTTTCCCTCATGTCGCTGTTTTCTTTTTAGTATCTGCATAATACTCTTATAGGGAATAGCTTTATTTTATGTAGTCGTTCAGGTAGGGGGTAATTTCTTAGAAGAAATCTTGTTCCACACAGCTAATTTCGATGTTTCCAGGTAGCACTGAAAAAAAAAAAAAAGACGCGTTGATATATTTCCTCTTTAATTTTTTACAAGTTAATTTATAATCAAATGTTAATTTTTTAAATTGATATACTTAATTTTTTTTAATATGAGGTACTGTCACATATAGAGCAAAGTAAAAGGTTATATAGAAATTCTATCCAAAGGAACTTTAGGATTTATAGATTCATAAGGTAAGCACAGAGAGTAACGTATCTAAAGTCACGTAATTAGTGAGCAAAACTAAGGCTAGGACTCAACATTTCTTGATTTCCAGTAGAATTTAAAAGTTCAACATTTACTGAACAGTTAATATGTGCCAGGAATTGTGCAGGGGGCAGAGTGAGGGGGAAGGGGGCAAACAAAAGAAAAAGAGAAAGAGTCCCTCTTCTCAGGGAGGTTAATATTTAGAGGTTACTGGAGCATAAACAGGTAATTTCAGTGAAGAATGGTAAAATGCTATTAGAGGAGAGCCATTTCTCTGGGTTTCAGAAGAAGATTCTTGAAGAAAATAAATCTAGAAAGATGCTCAAGTGAGACAGGAATGCAAGAAAGAAAGAACATTTCAGGAAAGGGAACAAAGTGAGTAGATAGACACATAGTTCTGAAAATGCATAGTGTGAGTGTTTGTGGGGGTGACCACTGTGTAGCAGACACTACAAGTACTGAGTTTTTATTAGAATTTAAGACTTAAAGTCTAGTGTGGGAGTCGCAGAAAAAGGAGATTGGAGAGGCCAGGAGGCTAGGTCGTGGATTATGAATCATGGCCTTGTGTGCCATGCAAATTGCTGAGTAGCTTTTCTCTTAATTTGTACAAGGCCATGAAAGCTTTAAGCAGATAACTGGGGCATTGTGGAAAATGGATTTAAGGGGAGCAAAATTAGAGGCAAGGAAACCAACTAGGATTAGTGAAATAGTGTAGATAAGAAAACCATTTGAATTAATCAAAAGTTCCACCATTATTTACCCACATATTACAGAGGAAATCTATTTTAACTACTGACCCCTTATGGTTAAGAGCTCCAGCTCTTAATCTCAGCCTGGGTTCAAATCCTGACTCTGCCACTTATAGTTTGTGTGATCTCACTTATAAAATAGAGATAATAATAATACAAGTATACTTCAAAAAGTTTGTGGAAAGATAAAATTAAAAATAATACAAATCTTTCCATGAACTCTCTGAAGACCCCTCACAACTACCTCATAGGACTTGAAAAAAAATGAGTTAATAAATGCTCACAGACCATCCCTGACACATAGTAAATACTAAATGAATATTAGTTTTACATTTACATCTCTAGAGTTATATGGCTGGTCTGGTTTAGCCTTGAGTCATTCTTAAAGAGACTGTTCCTCCAAAGTATCCTCCCTAAACAATTTAATCATTTTGATTAAGGAGAGAAGTAGTCATAGTCATTTAATGTCCATTATCCTAGACAGTGTTGGAGGGGTTTTCAGGGTGAAGATCATCTTCCACTCTTTGTTGACATTTTCCAACTCCTTGATTAATTTCTCAATAACTACAAGCTACTGGTTTTTGTCTTAAAGTTAGTTTTTAAAATGTCATGGAATAGCCACTCCAACATTGCCCTTATTACTGTGACATATTGAAAATTTTTACTCATTTCTTACTTTTTAGGTTTTATCAGCACCACACTCTCCCGAGTGAGCCACAGGCCGGCCCTTACTTTTTAGGTTTTAGGAGAATACTTTTTGGGTAATTGACCAGCCCCACATTATACTGACATAAATTCTTGAAAAATGTTAATGCCAATACATATATCTTATGAATAAAATAGATCATTCACTCTAAAACTTAAATCATTATTGAGTACTTAATGTGTGTCAGCACTATCCCAGGTGCTAAGGATACAATGATAACTAAAAATACAGTTCATGACTTTACACAATCAAGTATGAGACAGACATTAATCAAATTATTACAGAAATAAATGTAAAATTATAACTCTGAGTGCTATGAAAGTGTGTAAGGCTATGAGTGTGTTCAGTAGGAGGACTTGATTTCATGTGGAAACTGAAAGAAGACATCCCAGAAGTAGAGTTAAGATCTGTAGAATAATCAGGTTTTTGCTATGCATAAGTAGGTGAGTGGAACAAGACAGTGGGTAAAAAGAGCAACATGTGCCAAGGTGCTGATGAAGAAGACAAAAGGACACCTATGAGGGACTGAGAGACAGCAGTACAGAGAGGGAAGTGGTACTAAGCTATTCTAGAGAAGTTGGTATCCACCAGACCATACTGTACCTTTTAGGTCTTTATTAAGGATATGGGTCTTTTACAGAGACCGGTAGGAAGACATTGAAGAGTTTTAAGCAGGTTAATTTGATCAGATTTGTATTCTGAAAACGATCATTTTTGCCACAAGGTATTGAGCCTCAGTTTCCATATACATATAAAATGATGACAATAATCACCTGCTTCCTACTGTTACTATGAAGAATAACTGTTAATAAATGTAAAAGAAATGGTGTGTGGCACCTAATAAGTACTCAAAAAATGTTAGCTAGAAGAAGCTGGCCGGTTAGGTCAGTTGGTTAGAATGGAGTAGTGGTTACACCAGGGTCTAGAGTTCGATCCCTATACCAGCTAGCCACCAAAAAAATAAATTTTTAAATTTATTCTCCTGGGATCTTTTAGTGCTTCTTGAATCTGAATTTTTAAATTTTAATTAATTCAATCTTTCAACTGTAGAGGGTTAGAAATCTTGATTCCTATTTGATTATTAGATAAGGTTTTTAGGTAATGCAGGTATGGGACAAAAATCCTTGGATAGGAGTCAAGAGCCTACAGTTAGAGGGCAAGAGCCCACCGAATCAATTCTAATCACTGTTTAGGTAAGGGATTGTATACACTGATTGTTAATATAATGGGTTCATTGGAAGATTTTGTGAGAAGGAAACTCACACAGGTCTAAAGCCTTTGATGTAAACAAGAGAACTGAAGCAAAACAGGGATTGTTCTGAGGATAATAACCCTTAATACAACAAAACTTAAATGATGGGAAAATACACGAGTTAGGATATCCAAGAACGTTCTACTAGATTAGTTAGTACGTGGGGGTTGTTCCACATTTTGCTTTAAGCTGTTTCTTTGAGTTTCTCAAGAAGTCAGGCACTTTAATGATTATCATATTGTTTCTTTTGCATGTCACATAGCTTAGATTTGTGACTCTTGATGGTATATTGTTTAAACTATTTTGAACCATGCATGCTTGGATGAAGATTGCATAGTGAGTTTCTTCATGTTCTTACTATGATTGATTAACCATCTGTTTTTTTTTCTGTAATTTCCTTGTCTTTACAATAAAAATTGAAGCAAAAACCAATTCGAGGCTGTACCCAGTTTCTCCTTCTAACAGAGGAGTTGCTGAGGTGCAGTCCCTTCGGGCTTCTCATTACATTCATGTTGCTTTGTGTAAGCTTTTTGCATCAACATCAACAAATCTTGAAAACTCTTCAGTCATTATCTCTTTGTTAACCCTCTATTTGATGAATTCTTTCCTTCCAAAAATATGAGGGATTTTCAAAAAGCTTATGGAAAGATTTGTATTATCTTATAATTCTATTATTCCGTGAATTTTTTGAAGTATCAGCATAATTTTTGAGTGGGTCATAAAATTTGGCTTATGGTTAGGAGCATAGTTTGTATTATATGTTAGATATACAAGTATGTTAGATTTTCTTTTTTTTTTTTCATTTTAGATTTTCTTTCTAAGTGTACTGTTATGCTTCTTAATCTCTCATAATTTTTCTTTTTCTCACTGTTCGGCATATGGATAATTTCTTCAGCTCTTCTACTTTGTTAACTTTTTTAAAGAAAATTTATTATTAATACTATTTTTGATTGACAGTTAGGTAATTGTGTACATTTTGGGGGTACAGTATGATGTTTTGATATATTTATACAATGTGGCATTATTAAATTAAGCTAGCTAACATACCCATCACCTCCCTTACGTATCATTTTTTAGGGTGAGACATTTGAAATATACTCTGTTATTTTGAAATATATAATGCATTATTATTGACTCGTCTTTCTGTGCCTGGCTTATTTCACTTAACGTAATGTCCTCCAGATTCATTCACGTTGCAGATGAAAGGATTTCATCCCTTTTTAAGGCTGAGTAGTATTCCATTTTGTATATATACCACATTTTCTTTATCCATTCATCTGTAGATGGACAGTGAGGTTG